TCATTCTATCATTCTATCATTCTATCATTCTATTATTCTATCATTCAATCATTTAATCATTCAATAATTCGATTATTCGATCATTCGATCAATCAATCATTCAAACATATATATATGCTCGCTATTTTATGACAGTGTAGGCGTTTCTTACTACATTTTCATTCCCTCAAATCTTTGCTATTCAATCCTGTCTAGCCCTAACTCTGTTTGTAAACTTACCGAATCCCGAGGTTGTCCCGAATCTCCACCTTACCCCCTACGTCTTGTTGATAGCGTTTTTGGCATAATTACAATTGGGCCTCATTGACGCACTGATCAAATAGTTGTAGCCAGACGAGTTGGCGCATTTGCTCGGCCAGCTCGTGCTCTTCACGCTTGAGCATGTAGCAGCTACTGTCCGGACAACTTGTTGGTGCTACCGGTTGGCACGAGAGGCACGAGAGGGACGCATGCCTCGACGCCGTCTGGCTGTGCTCGACAGGCAAACACTGTCGAATGCTGTTTGAGGTAGTCATGCGAACTGGCGAACTGTCGAACTGGCGAGCTGGAAGCGCTCAAAAGGGCTCAAAAGGGCTCAAAATTGGCCTTCTCCCATTGCCCATCATCCCCAAACCTGACATGCACCCAAAAGCGCACCTCGCAACACGGCGGTAACAGATAAGGCCCAATTTGTCCTTTCCATGCAATGCGGCCCCAGTGATTGAGAGGGGAGTCGGCCAGCCGATGTCGACCTCTTTTCCACATATCCCATACGCCAATGTGGCCACACCTGTACTCGTCACGCACATGTGTGCATGTGCAAAGCGTACAGTCTAGCTATGCCAAAGCACTAGTGCCTATGCGAAATGGGTAGGAAAATGAAAATATTTGTGTACACACTCAATTGTGCATGTGTGCATGTATATATCAATATCGAAGTTGCCAGCCGATGTTCCGAATCTGTTAGCTCAAGCCTTATCGGGGCCGACGATGATTGTCGAATGCACACGAAAATCCTCTTGCTCCACAGGTTAGCACGCAATCCTAGTCGCCTTTCTGTGAACCTGGGGTCAGCTTTACTAGACCGGTGACGATTGTGATGATGACGGTGAGAAAGAGGAGTATGACGATGGCTCGAAAATGGATGATGAAGATGATGATGCTGAGGAAGAGGTGGAAAATGTGGATAACGATGACGATGATAATGGAATTGATGAAGATGATGATGCAGAGGAAGAGTTGGAAGATGAGGATAA